TTGCAGCCTGCAGTCACTCCTTTGGGCAAATAATGCAGTCTATCTCCAATATTAAAGGCACACATTTTTAAAAAATGTCTTAAAATAGTTTTCAGCAAAGACTTTATTAATTATTATTATTATTATTATTATCATAATCATCATCATCATCATCATTGTAACTGACTTCAGAATTACACTTAGATATATCCTTCTATCTACACAAGAAAGGAAACTGTTATTACAGACTCAAATTACAGGTAAGAGTTGATGGAGAGTTACCCTGAGCTTCTTGGCATATTGTAGAGGTGCCACGGGTCTGTTTCTCACATCACACTTTTTGCCGATATGCAAGGCCCTTCAAAATCCCCTTTGGCAAGAATAGACTTTCTACTCTACATTACATATTCTTCTGCAGAACATCAAGCTGTACATCCCAGCTCCAAGTCAGGAAAAATGTTAAATCCAAAGCTGGTGTGACCACTTCAAGAGAAATGTTACATAATTTGGTGTGAAGCAAAAAAATAAAATGGAAAATGCTGGCCATATTACAAGTATTATAAAATTAACTAAGTACCTAAATAAGAAGAGAAGAAAAAATATTTTGTTGTTCCAAGAGATTGAGAACAAATGCAAATTAAAAAAAAATTCATGGACTTGCACATGTTTTCTGGTCCAGGATGTTAAAAACCATTAAGAAATCAGCACATTTCTCTATTAATTTCAGATTCTAAGTGAATTTCAGAAGTATTAGTTTTCTCTCTGTTATTAAGAGGAAATATTAATTTAATAAATAATAGACTGTGTTCTGCCTTCTCAATTTTAAGTATACTTGGAAAGATTATACTATTCTAATTAATTTTATTAGAGAAGTGATTCATAGATTCATAAATAGCTAATTAATAATGCAGCACCAGTAGATGGTGCTCAAGAATATATAGCTTAACTGGAGGCATGGGTGAATAAAATGTTCTATTTTGAAATTGAAAATCTTCGGCAAAAATACTAATTTACTTTTGGGAAGTTGATTTCTCATCAATAATGCCACCTTCCATATTCAATCAAACCTTTTGTTGGTTGACAATTTTCAAGTTGAAGAAGTCGATGATTTTCTTGCTTGTTTGTTTTCTTCTTTGTATAGCTTCCTCTGCAAAGGTTTTCACAATAATTCTAAATTCTGCTACTAGCTTTAAGTATTTTGATGTTGTCATTCAATCCAATAAATTCAATAACTGGGCTCGAAGCAGTGAAATTCATGCCATAGGTGACACTAAGAGTGTGGCACAAGGGGTTTGGATCACATGTAAGGCCTGTACATCATCCTACCACAGAAGGTGGCTCTTGAAGCCTCTTGAGGAAGGTGCAGAAAACACAGAATATGACTGGTTTTGACAATCTGACTTCAAAAAAATCTCACATAGTCTCCAGTATGTAAAGCTCTGTTTAAGTCTCCAAATAAGTTTAAGTTCCCCTGCAATACTCATTTGGCTAGTTTAGCTCCATACATTCTTGTTTTCCACATAAGCACCTAATTTTTTTCAATCTTAAATTCCTTTCATCTCAACATTATCAAATGATGAGTCCCACAGGATAAATACTAAGTGAAAACCGATGTTCTGTTAGATTTGCTAGCTTCTTATTTAATTCAACACATGCATATGTCACTGTATTCTTGTATTAATACGGGGAGGACTGAGATTCTGGCTTACTTCTAGCAGTTATGTCATATTTTTGCCATGACTCTGTTTAAAATCCTTTTAAGATATTCCACTCTGTTTCCACAAAACCCTGCTTCTATAATTCTTGTCACTTTCCCCTTAAACACCCCCTAGTTTTCTGATATCTTTCTAAGATGTAGAAATCAGTGCACAGCAGTTCAGATCAGGCTGCAGCTCTGATTTTTATAACACTGTTTTTCTTTAACATCTCTTCTTGATTTATTTTCATGTCTTGCTTCTTCTGAGAGCTGCTACATTGAACAGAGGTCTTCAGTTTGCCATCCATGTCTATTCTTTTTATCAGTTTCCCTTGAGAAACTTTGTCAAGCAATTTTAAAAAAATGACATCTATTGGTTCTCCTTTGACCACTTCAGTAGTTTACTGGTGTGTTGAAAACATTCTAGCAGGTGAGTAAGGCATCATCTTCCTTTGCACAGATCTATCATCTCATGGTCTTGTGGGTGTTTTATTTTGTTATTTTTAATTCGTTAGGTACCGATGTAAGATTTATGAATCTTTGATTCCCTGAATCATTCTGAACTCCTTTTATGATGTATGTGAAACATTGCTCTTCTCTAACCTTCCAGTAAAGGAGTTGTTTTTCAACTAGAGATTGCATAGCTCAACTACTTGTTCAGGATTTTCAGTCTTGGTGGCTTCCTGCTTTTCAAATGATTGATTTGTTCCAGCACCTCTTCATCTGATAGTACCTAATTTTTATTACCCAAGAGTAGATATCTCCCTAACATCCTCTATTGTGAAGACTGATGCAAATAAATCTTCTGTGCTCTCAGCAATGTCCTTCTCCTCCTTAATTGCTGTCTTTATTCTCTGAACTTCCCAGAGTACACAGTTACTCTTAAAAGTTTCTTGCTTTTGATATATTTAAGGAGGCTCTTATAATTTGTTTTTAAATTTTTAACTTTATGTTTTTATGAGTTACCTTTGCTATCCACTTTTTCCCTTTTTACCTCCTTGCTATTAGAGTCTGTGATAATTTCCCTCACTTCCTGAAAGCTGCCTTTTCAGATTATGGCAATTCCCTGCTTAGCTCAAGTGGCATCTCAAATCCTTTCATTTCACTCCACTGGTATGTAACTTACCTTCCTTGTTTATCTCCTCCCCTCCCCCAAACGCACATTTATCAATGGAAATATTCTTGGTTTTGGAAGGAACACAAATGCCACATTTTGACTAACATGCATTCTATTGAACGCCTCTGAGCAAAGGTTGTCTTGTGACATTTTTTATGTATCTTATATCTTGTTAGATGCGTTTAACCTCATTATTTTAAGACCACTTTACATATTAGTTTGGATATCCTTAATCCTTGATTTCTTTCTGCTTATTTCAATTGAAGTCTAAAAATATGTCTAAATTCTGCTTTAAAAATTGTGTCCAGTTTATCAAGCTGAGCTCATTGATTTAAGGCTGTCTTATGCCTTCCAAGGTGACACTCATTTCTCAAAATAGTTTTCTTCAATTATGTGCTGTTTCAGGAACTAATTTCCTATAGTTCTGAGAAACTATATTTTTAATCTTTTGCATTTACATATCTGATTTGTTTCTAGTTTCATCTAGTTTCATCATTAGTTCATCTGTTTTCTGGGTTGTATAAAATTTATCATTATCCTGTTTTGTTCCATATTTTTGCTTTTTTTTTTTTTTTCTTTTTCTGTGCTGCACCCTTAGTATCTTAGTTTTGGCTTGCATTTTTCGACGTTCTTTCTGTGTCCTGGGCTTCCATTCTCAAGAGCCTTTTTCACTTAGAGTGATTTTTCACACTGGAATTTTATTTTGTTATGTGCAAAGCAAAATTCCTCACAGAACTGGTTCATTCTGTTATTCTGGGGCAGTTTACAAAGCATTGTAGGCTTTTTTTAAAATTATTTACTTAAATATTTATCCAGTAATTTTCTTATGTTACTAAACTTCAGTTGTGACAATAGCGTAAAGCTTCCTTCTATTGGAAAGGCTTCTATTTCAGTTATTTTGCTTTTAATTTTTAATTTTGCATAAATATTTGAAGTTCTTTATTTTTAACCAGATGTCATTCTATGGCACATTTCCTGGATTTGTGCTTCTTCAGTTGCATTTTAAATGGATACTCAGAAGTATTTGTATAACCAGTAACACTTGCAGATGACTTGGTGTTCTTTGCCTCTGTTTATTAGGTGTTTGGAAAAAAAATTATAGCCTTTCAATATATGAAATCAGTATTTTCAATACTTTATGTCTTGCATATATAATTGCTGTCATTTGATAACAAACTTGCTGCTGTTTAATGTATGCACATAGTCTGGTGGTGGGATTCTAACTGGCTGTACTGGTATATGACTGTAAAGTTATGAGAAACTCATTGCAGGCCCTATTTGGGGGCTCTATGATAAACTTTAGGAAATTAATTGGAGAATATTTATGCAAAGATCAAAATAAAAATAAGGCCACAGTTTTCATGTTAATTATCTAAATGCACTGAAATCCTCTTTATACTGGGAGGAGTACAAATATTTTAAAAATGTGCTTTCATCTCTGATGTTATTAATGTACTCTAAAATATTGCCTAGTCATTAATCAAATTGAACTGTGATAAATACAGAGAAACCCACAAACCCTGTGTCATTTTGGCTTCTTCTGCTAAAAGGAACAAAATTCAGACTTAATACTGAGTCTGTCTTTAATGTTCTTCATTTTGCTTATGTAGGCTAGAGAAGAGTAATTTTATGTACTTTGTGTGTCATTAACATCACTAATCACAAAGGGCAGTGTTAAAAGATGAAGTCTTGTGTAGAGTTTTTCCTTGCATTAATGGAAATGAAGGACTGATAAACCTGTCTGGAGTTTAACTTTCTGCTGGAAGAGTTTAGTATTTAAAATGGTGGTGGTTTAACCCCACCTGGCAACTAAGCCCCACATAACCACTTGTTCACTCTGGCCTCAATCATGTTGAGGAAAGAATCAGAAGAGTAAAAGTAAGAAAACTCATGGGTTGAGATGACAGCAGATAAAGCAAAGTCTGCACACGCAAGGAAGGCAGATCCAGGAATTTGTTCACTGCTTGCCATGGGCCGGCTGGTGTTTAGCGGTGTCCAGCAAAGCAGGACTCCTTTAGGTGTAATGGTTGCTCAGAAAGATAAATGCCATCATTTCCCTCTCTTCCACTTCCCCCAGTTTTATTTTCTGAGCATGACCCCATATGGTATGGAATGTCCCTTTGGTCAGTTGGGCTTAGCTGTCCTAGCAGTGTTCCCTGAGCTCCTTGAGCACCCCCAGCCTCCTCTCTGATGGAGTGAGGAGAGGAGCAGGAAAGGGCTTGGCTATGTACAAGTGCAGCCCATCAATAATGAAAACATTCCCATGTTAAAAACACTGTTTAAAGCACAAATACAAAACACAGATGAACACTTTATTATTACTATGAATAAAATTAACTCTACCCCAACCAGAACTTGCACAGACATTCACAAATTACACTGCTTGTCCCCTACCAAGTTCATTTGTAATCTGTTTTAAGATGTTGATCAAGATACCTGTACGTTTAAATAAGTTCTTAGTGGAAGACTTGTGTTCAAATTTTTTGAGGGTTTGAAACCTGAAGTTTTTCCTTGTTAGAACTTTCTAAGGCAGCAAAAAGGCAGCAGCATTTGTTTAAGGCTAACAGCTTTCGTTATTCCGCTTAGGCCTCATTCAGGAACACACAGTCCACAATGACTATTCAGCTTGAAACACAGAAAAAATATTCTAAACAAGAATATAAATATTCTCTACAAGAAAATAGACTTGCATCTTTGGTTCTAGTGGGTGGAAGTACAAATGGTATGGTGGCACCGTTACTGCTTTACTGCTGCTGACAAAGTATGGACTGTCCATCTCTTTAAAATATAGTTTCTGTAGGCTTGATTTGAGGGGGGATTCAGGACAGTGTATCCTGAACATCTGGAAGCGATAGTTTGAAATTAATTTTGGGAGGTTTCCAGCATACCCTTTGTAGCAGTATCCCCAGATATCTGGGGCTTTAAGTTGCCTCTCAATAAGAATGATGTCTTTCTGAGGCACATAGCTCTTCCCAAGAAACTTAGTGTAACAAAAAGCTGCATCCTATCTCAGGCTTCCAAATTCCATGCTAAAGGAATTGAAGTCTTAGCACGGTCCTCCCCTGCATGCTTGTTTGATCCAAATGCACATTTTTAGAAAGAAAAAATATGTTGAGTTTTTACAGATGTTATTTTCTCAAATACCCAGTATTCCCATGGAAAGGCCATTCAAGGATTAGCTGAGTTGATCAGGAAGCTTCACCCTGGAAAGAGAAAGGGACATGTTATGGGACTATGGTACTACAGAGTCAAGATTGGCAAGGAAAGACAGGCTCCAGCTGAATTATCAATCTCCAGATTGATAATTTACTGTCTAGCAAAAGAACAGCAGGCATCATAAAAAGCTGGAAGGAGTTGTGCTCAAAACAGAAGAGTTGCTCATGCAGCAAGTAACTGACCTTTGAAACTCCTTGCCAAAGGATGTTGTAGATAATAAAAAAATAAATGAAATACAAATTTTTGTGGACTCAAGGGCAAACTGGACCAAGCATATGAAAGAGAAATCCAGTAACGGTGGGGGTTGTCAATAATCGTGCAAAATCATATCCATTCAGGAATGCCCCTGTACTGAAAATAATTAGAGGCTGGTAATGTATTAGGGGAGAATCTTGAGCCTCCTTCAGCATTTATAGTCACTTATGAAGCAGAATGTGGGGCTGAATAAAACTTCAGGATAGTACAACCGTTTCGATCTTCACTCTTATTAGATATTTTAATAGTGATGGGGAGGTAGATTTTCAGAGGTGAAAATCTGATTTTTTTTAATCTGTAGATCCTGGAATCAGTTGAAATTTGGAAGCAAGCACTGAACATTATTGTTCAGAATGTCAGAACATCTATTTCAGTTTTAAAACATTGGCTGAGTGCCCATAATTGCCTTAAGTGAGTGCTCACATTTAAAAAATTGAGGATATAGTCCAGATTCAGATCAAGCTGAGACCCAGGGAGAAAATTCTCAAGGTCTTTTTTCTCTATCTAAACACCATTAGTTTTATAAACACATTATCTGCAATTCCCCGCATCTTGAAGGAGGAAGAAGCTATGTCCTATTCTAAAATTGTCCAGTATCTAAAATTTGATTGAATGGGCAAGGCTTGTCTTAAGCTAAACAAATATTTTAAAATTGGGAATAAAAGACATCCTTTATGGTTTTGGAAAATAATACTTGGGAGAAGAAAAAAATATGCTCTCTAAACCAAATAATTTCTTTGGGTGCATGATGGGCGTCCAGAGTAAATTGTTTCATTTCAGCAGTCTGTTTAAAAGTTTACATACATGTCCAACATACTTTTGACATCATATTGTAAAATTTAATAAAATATCTGAATAAGAAGAAGCCATAGGCATGAAAGACAAATGGTACTTACTGATGTGGCGAAGACTTGTCATATGACTGTCAGTTAAGTGTTCATGGTCCACAGTTCTTCAAGGAGGTGCCGTGAAGCTCAACTGCTTGAGGAAAACAGATGTGAATGTGTCGCTCAAATTTTAAGAAATGCAGCTTTTTGGATGTGTTTAACTATGTGTTTCAGGTAATTGAATTAGTCTTACGGCATGGAATTTTAGAGGAATAGCTAAGTTTACTTAATATTCTAAAGAAATGTAAAACCCGAGTTAGGGAGTTGTATGTTGGCAGTAGCTCAGCTCATATCAATGGCCTTGTACCAGTGTAAAACATGTGAGAATGGAATCGTGCTCTTGATACGTACTCTGGGCTCGAACTGAAGAGTGAGAGGAGAGAAACACATTTATATTACTGAGGGGTAAAATATTCTGTGAAAATGTGGGGTATTACTGTTAGGAGCTGCAGGTGGCTGTCATCATTCTGAAGAGACACATTTTGACAACACTATACAAAATATGAGAGATTGCAAGAAATGTAGTTCCCAAATTGTCAGGCACAAGAAAAGAGTATTTGGAGGGTGGGTTTTTATTGTTGTTTTTAGAGATGAATAATTATGGGTGAGTGAGTGAAAGGAAATTACAGAGATGTACTAATTTATATGTCTATCTACCTCTGAATCCAAAAAGGCCAAAAAATAAAGGGAATTAACCCAAACACATTGTAGAGCATCTACACCAAATACATTAGACCTACTGCTAAGAGCCATAGGTTTTTGTCTTTCATAAATTCTGGCAATGTTCTCAGTCCTCTCCTGCCAATAATGTCTGACTGTGATGAAATATTTTGCCCCTCTATTTCTCCCTTTCTTTCTCGCTTTTGCCTTTCCCTCTTCCTTCCTGTATGCACACTTGAATCTGTTATTTCAATGTTGTTAGTCAGTGAATCCTAGACCTTTTATTGAAGTGATATAACTAAAAATTTCTGGTGAATGATTTATTGTTCTATTCTTGCTGAACATTGCTGACTGTTATCACAGTAAATGTAAGTAGTGTCACTGAAGTCAGCAGATCTATGCTGAATTAATCAGTATGGATTCTGGTCCTGAGAGTCATAATTGATAAAGTCATTTGTGTGCTTGAAACAAGTCATGAATGGATGTGTCAGTATAGGTTCCTTAAAACTGGCTTAACTGTACATTTAATTAATTTTGGAGGGTGTCACCTTCACACAGAGGAACTCAGCTTCAAAATATATTTGGTCTTGGTAAAGGTATTTTTAATGTGATTATTCATAAACTTTGTTTATCAGTATTAGATTTTTGTCTGCTCTTTATATTTTGTGTATTAAATACCAGGCTTTTGAAAATAAGTAGGTTACCTTGCAGATTGGAAGCCAACAAATGGATGTAGTTTCAAACACTACACAGTGCTGTACATTCAAAAGTGACACAGGGTTAAAAAAAATGGCCTGTTTTCAGTAAAATGCTTAGATATGAGCATATTTCTATTTTATACCCATTTTAAATGTGTGAGAGAAGGAGACTGAGAAATATTTAATGATGAAACTACTAAAACATGATATTCAAATATACTGACAAGAAGCTGCTCTAATATCTTTTCTTCCTGTCTTTTATATGCCTCCTCTGGTTTCTTCTCTCTTTGTATATTTAATACAATACTTTCCTCCAATTTGCACAGCCTTGCCTAATCTTTTTTCTTATATAGTTCTTGCACTCATTTTTCTCTCTCAATCATGTATTTCCATGTCTTTCTTCTCTTCTATGAACTCAATATTTCTTCTCATGCTTCTCTTATTCCTGTGCTACTGACTTCCTGTAAGCATCTGTATTATTAGACTATTTTCCATATTCTAATTTTAAAATCTATTATTGCTCTTTCAATTTGATTCCCAAAGTATTGTTTCAGCTATTGGAAATACAGAAAAAAATTTCAAGGATATTGTTTATTTAAGCAGCAACTTTCATAAGTTACCAAGAACATATGACAATGTAGAACAAGATTCATTCCATGACTGTTCTTACAAGATGGAAGTATTTCTCAGCCTACTTCTCCCCACTATTCCTCAGATAACTGTCCCATTAATGGGATATGCATTGGAATCCAATGGATTCCAATTTACCATTCCAAAATACCCAATTTTGGGTGGACTGCTAAAATGTAGATGGATGACATCTTAAATGCAGACGTGTATATCTGGTCTGTATATTCCCCTGGTATGGTCAACAAATAGAGACAGGTGATTCTAATGTTTTTCATTGAATCTTGCTATGACTGTTAGAAGTAAGTTATCTGATTCAATGCTGATAGCTTTTCTTTTCCCTATTCTAATGTAAATTTCTGAGGTTGTGTGAGATAAACCTTATTTCTGCTATCTCTTATAGTGGGTTGGTAAAGTTAATTCTCCGTTTGACTTCCCAGTTTCTTTGGGTATCCCCTTCCCTGAATCTGGGGGGTTTTTTTTGTCTAATTTGAATGAAAGTCAGACCTTTTATACAATTTCTTTGCTAGAGACTTGCTATTTGTAACAAGTCTGTTACAAGCACTGAAGCTGTGCCTTTGAGCCCATCAAGTAAGGTCTCTGATACAAGATCCAGTCCTTTCAGTCTGGGGGTGAGGACATATCCTCCCAAGCCCTAGTAAGCAATCATAAGAATGTCCACATAAATCTCCAAGTCTTTTCCTTCTAGCAGCATAGTTTTTCTGTCCCTGTTTCCATCTTCACCTACCACCCTGTATCTTTTGGTTTCCAGTGGCCCCACACCAGGCTGGACTAGGGCATCACTGCAGCAGTAGGGTCACACTCCCATGCCCTCCTGCAAGATGCTGTCTGCATATCTGAGGGCAGGCTTGTTCTGGCTCCTCCTGCCCCCAGGAAGCAGGCAGGGGGCTGCATGCCAATTTTACACCTGGCAGACACCCAGGGGAGTGCTGAGGCTCAGGAAGGATCTCTGTGTTGCTTCAGTGCTTGCAGCCTCCTCCTCCAGCATGGCAAATGGTACATGGCTGAAAAACACCACCCCAATCCTGCACCTAACTGCTGTCAGCCACAGGCTTGGCACGATGTGGACAAGTCCAGTCTGTGCTCTGGGATCCTCTGTGCCTGGAAACAATTTGCCACTGCAGCCCTGCTTGTAAATTACCAAAAATCAAAAGTATGGATAACTGACCATTGATAACATGCTTGGGAGGAATTCTTATGGTCTAAAGTCCTCACGGCATTACGGAATTTAGGAGGTATGTGGCACACTTAAAGTCAGGAATTCACATACCAGTTCATATGAAGGGTTCTGATGCCTACCCTAGTAACTGTTGTTGTAGAAAGACTAGCAGGAGTCAATGTCTTTTTTACTGCTGGTCTGTTAAAAACAATGATATTCTGGGTTCTTCTTCTCTCTGCTTGTCTTCATTAATGCAGTGCTCTTCTGCCTTTGTCTCCTTTCTTGAGTTATTGTCTTCCAACATGTCTTAACAAGTTTCTTAAAGCTATGAACCCTTTGGGCCAGGGATATGTCTTGTTAGAACTTAAGTGGTGTAGAAGCAATTTTTACCATGCTAGAATAAAATTTAAATATAGATAGGAGATATAATAAGACTGCACTCACATATGTGGCCATAGTTGGAAATGTCCACTTGAGAGTAGAACAAGGGGCACAGTCTGCAAAGGTCAGGCTCACTAACTATATATCCTGTAATTAGTAATAATCTCCCCACTTTAATTGTAACTGATAGAACTTCACGCCATAAATTCTTTTTTGTTGTTGTTGTTTAAAAGGTTTGGTTTGTGATACAATAATGAGTACTTGTCTAAATTGCTTATTTATTAATTAACTCTTTATTAATCTGAATATGCACATTTTCTTCACTCTGATCTTTATTATGCAAAATGACATTAAGCAATTAACTTTAATATAGTAACTGCTACTAAGTACTTAGAAATAAGGATGTAGGTGGCATGTCTTGTGTGTTACCAACTGGCATTAATTATGAAGTTGAACTTTTGCACTAAAGTCCTACTACCTCTGTGGTTTTAATATAGAAACCATGTCTCTTAGGAAAACGTATTTCTTAAAATGCTTATGTTTTCTCCCTGTTGTATTTTTCTCCCTGTTGTATTTTTGGGCAGAGGTTGTCAATTAGGAAACTTTAAAATTGTAGTTGGTGCAGAGAGAAATAGAGGCAAGTTTAATATATAAGAAACCTTAACTGTTTCTATAGGCTCAAAATTAAAGTAATTTTAAAGCTCAGTTATTAATCACATGCATTTTTAACCAATAAAATTGCTAATTCTTCTTCTATTAGGGGAACCATCCACCAGATCAAAAACCCCATTTAGCCCGGCCTTGAACAATTCCAGGTATGGGAAATCAATCCACATCTCTAGTAAACCAGTTCCAGTGCCTCACCACCCTCCGAGTAAATAATTTCTTCTTAACATCTAATCTAAGCCTACCTTCTTTCAGTTTAGAAACATTGTCCCTTGTCATGTCACTATCTGCCATATGAAAAATCACTTTCCCTCCTTTTTAAGCCCCCTCAAGGTACTGGAAAGCTATAATAAAGCCTCTCCAAAGCCTTTTCTTCTCCATGCTGAACAACTCCAGCTCTCTGCCTTTCCTTATAGGAATGGTGTTCCAGTCCCATCATCAACTTCATGTCTCTCCTATGGAGTCATTCCAACAGGTCGACGGCTTCCTTTTTCATTTTACAAAAGGCATTATCCCCATTTTTTATCATCACTTACTGTGTTTTAAGTTAAAACACTTGCTCACTTGCTTTTTATTCCAGCTGGCTGGTAATAAGGTGAACATAAATGTAAAACCTGAGAGTTTGGAGTAATAAGATGACTATGAAACATACACAATTTTTATGTTTCCTGACAAATCAGATGGAGAAATAAGTGAAGAGGGAAATGGGCATGATTGCCTGAAATGAGAAGGGAAATGAATTACTTCATAAGTAATTCACCTAAGTAGGTGTGTCAGAATTATTTTTTTTTTGCAACAGCATTTTGCCATTGACAACATTGCACATTCAGCCCATGGCAAAATTCTAATTATTGTCTTTCACTATTTGACTTGACAGTTTCTACTTGACTAAGCTGTAGCAGTGGACAAACAAATTGTTGATCATTGGATTAGTGGAGTTCCTGTAGTAAAGACATAGAAAGCTAAACAGTACAGGTGTCTTTAGTCAGAAGTAAAAGTAAAGGAAATTGTGCTACTGAATTTTATAGAAACAGTTTATAATGCACCGATGAACACACAAGTATTTTTAAAGAAATTAGTATACTTATATACAATTAAATTATCTAGAAAGCACTGGAGTAGCAGTCTTGCCAGCTACTAAATATTTACCCAACTCTGATCACAGCAATGTTTGACTTCTTAAGTATTCCCTGCAGCTGCAGATGTCCTGTCTTACTGCAACGTTCTTCTCTTCAGCATTTCTGAATGCACTGCCAAAGATACCTGTATAGGGCCTATGTACAGGAAAAAGAGGACTTTTCAGAAAACTCTGCAGCACCAGGATTATAGCTATTGGCACCTCTTTCCCTTCCCACTCAAATCAACCAGGCCATGCTCCAGGACAATGGCCAGGTTCTTGTTCCAGACTTTTCCACCCTGAATGTTTCCAATGTTTATGTTTCTATAGCATGGAGAAAAAAAAAAAGAAATATTCTTGACTTTGCCTCAGTTTTATGTGTCTTCTATGTAAGATAACTCTAAGGAATGGGAATTGACAAGAATTGTCTTTGGACTGAACAGTATCACAGTTAGTCTGCAGTGTTCTGTATTGACCAGTCAGTTGGTGGATGTGGATTGCATTCTGCCTCAGGAACACATCCCCAGTATGCACTTTTACAGATTTGTCTTGGACCAATGTCAAAGTGAACTTTTGAGAGACCCAACCCTATAATGGGTGAGGAGCCAAGCTACAGAACGCACTGGGAGGTAAAAAACACAAATGCAGTAAAAGAACTTTAAACTCAGGAGAGGGACTTTTATTGTTTGCTTATGTTTTTTTCCTAAAAAAAATAGGCAGCCCTGTGAAGCTTTATTTTTATATACAAGTCTGAATGGACAAATCATGTCTTGGTTTGCAGCATTACCTTGATGAGCAGATTAGTTATGACATCCTTTGGTTGATTTTCTGTAAGCTTAGGGCCATACACCCGTTTTACAAATTAATTCAAGGGATTTCTAGTGAGAAACCTGTCTCTTGGTTATACTGACTTTTATCCAATCTTCATCTTCCCTGCTGACTCAGCAGTTAGTGCTCACTCCAGGACTGAAGCTGGATGAGTTGGTGGAGTCCTCTGCATGATGCCTTGAGCAGCTGCTGTGAAGAACCACAGGGCGCTGAGAAGCTGAACACTAGATCCCAATAGCCTTTTGTCAGTTCTTTGGCCATGAGCTCCATGAATCACAGTGAAGGTATTTTACTGTACTATATTTCAAATCCCTTGGAAAAAAAAAAAAAAATGTACACAGTACTGTCTCCTAAACTTACCATGAAGGAATTCCTTCATTTAAATCTTTGCTTCCTACGTATCTAGACCCATATATGGACACACACTTCATTCACATGATCAGTCCAGAAAAGGGCTTTCTGCCTCATCATTCATTTCTCTGCATGGCCTGTGATGTGTCTCTGGATGTCTATAAATTGAGTGGCTTTTTAGTCTTCATTCAAAAGAGACAGTGATGGAAGTAACCACAGGACATTTTGGTGTGTCTTAGTCATGGGAGGGTGGAGGCTGAACTACAGTGTTCAAGAGCTCAGGTGAGATGAATCTACAGTCTGTAGATAAAGGATATCTTCAGTTTCAGACATCACCAGCAACAGGCCTTTGGAAGACGCTGGGAAGGGAAAGGCAAAACTCACCAGCCCAGGTTTCTTCCTCTGTTTCCAGATGGTGTTGAAGATGCTGATACAAAATTAAACAGTGTCTCCCATGCAGTGATACAGGGTAGATCTCTCAGATATATCCCAGAGCAGGTTTTCACAGGTGTGCTTTGAGAGCTTATGGGAGAGGTATGTCTGAAGACCCCTTGTTTTCTGAGCGGTGGATGTGCTTGGGATATGCTGGCATGACCATGGAGACCTGAACACAACACACCTTATGGGGCTGATTTTTAGAAGTGGCTAAAGCATACTATCACATAGTCACAGACAGCCCAGGTAATGTACTGTTCTGTATAAAACCCTCTAATGAGTGATAAAACACAATGGACAAGGTTGCTTGAGTAATGAATGTATGTACCCTCTTTCTCTGAGAGGGCTGCCATTCAGTTTGAATTAAGTGTTCTTTTCCCTTATTTTTTCAGTATTTGGCACATCTCTACCAATGCCAATGTACATGTCACTTTGTTCTCTGTTTTATTTTGTGTAATGATCATCTCTTTCACAGGAATGAGGGATGGAGAGTGAAAGCAATTCACTGAAGTTCAATTTAATGAGGGAGAAAATGTCCAGACACTGTGAATGAAGCAAAATGAAGCAAACTTGCATTATTTTATCCCCCCACCCTCTTTTCATTGGAACTGTTTATTTTTAAACAGTTTTTCCTTTTTTCCATTTTACTTTTCTCTCATGTAATGTATTTATGATACTAAATTGAATAAACATAACTTTTTCAACTATAGATTTGAAGAGTTTCAAAAGATGCTCCAGTAACTATATTCCATAGACACAAATATGTTAAATAACTTCGCCAAGTTAACTGAGGAGAGAACAATAATAAAAATGAGAACAGAGAGCCTTTTACTTACTCTATTCTTCAATGACAACGTGTGGTGCAGAACCATTACAATGGATGCAGAAAAGCTGGGATGTGTTCATAGATGACATTCAGGAAAATTAAAATTATCTGTAATAGAAAGGGAATGAACACCCCGAACTCTTTATACCTTTATGGACATTAAATTTTATTCATGGGAGTAGTTTCTCACAACTCAATAAAGTTATTCATTTGGTACATAAAGTTAAGCATAGATTTAAGTGCCTTCAGGATTAAAGCATTGTGAATAATATTAACATCAGAGTTGTTTTCTGGTTTTTTTCTGAGCCCATACTCTTGACTTTTGATTGTAATTTTTTGCTTTGTTTTTTTGGTTTTTTTTTGTTTGCTTGTTTTATTTTGTTATTGCCTGCCCTTCATAAGGAACTATTATAAGGGAACAGTTACTCCTTGTCTTTTGTAATAGGTGATTGTAATTTGATCTGAAACAGATGAAAACAGTGACTGAGATGAAAAATAAAATGCACTATGAAACTATGGGAAAGTTACAGCATACAGTTAAAACAAATAAGACATCAAAGCCTTTGCCACTTTCTACATAAAGGATAAGTTTTAGTTTAAGTACACAAACACTTAGCTTTTTTACAGAGCTCTCACTCATGTCTTTTTGCTAATTTGTCTATTTGTACTATCTTAATATGTTTTGCAAGCCATTTTTGAAGGTAAAATTTGATATAACTAAATTTACCTTTGAAAAGATTAAATGTAAGTGGTTTAAAATGGGTAGCTTTAAGGGAACACCATCTGGTACATGGTTATTAAAAAAGCCCATGAAAATATTGCATGACAAAATTAATACACAGCTAAATTAACATAAAAAACCTAAATTAACAAGCCAGTTCAAAATGCTGATTATGATTAATTTTGTATATAAGTTTGCACTATTTTGGATCTCTGTTATGACCCTTGGTAAGATGTAGAAGGGATTTTCGTAGGACACACAATATAGCAGTATTTGAGGGGATTAGTAGTACTTGAGGGGATAAGAACCAGTAGAAGTCACTCAGCATTTTTTTTTCTATCAGGTTACCCTATTAATAAACATCTATAATAATGAAAGAATTGAAAAATTGGATTTTTGAGGAGGTTAAGTGGGATTTTTATAAGCTCACTTTTTATGAGAGACTTAGAAGTACACTGAAAGTTATGACAGATGTGAAGTTACTATACATTAATGTTTAATCTAAAATACTGATCAAAATTTCTTGGACATTGCATTTTTGTTGACATTTCATATTATTCTTGCCTTGGTCACTGAAATCCCATTGCTCTATATCTCTGGTGAATTATGAACAGTCTCTGTAGTGTTAGGCTGATTAACTTAATAGGAAGCTATGTGCAAAATAAGCAAAAATAAATAAATAAGTAAACAAAGTGCACAATCCATCCCTGTCAGCATTCCCAAGACATTAAGTGAAGGACAGTATTGCAATTTCTTAGTGTCAGCGGTTCTGGTTTTGACAAGGTGCAAACTTTGGTTTGACAGAGATAGTCTTCAAAGCGATACAACAGTTAGCAAATACCCTTATATGTTTTGATTTCTAGGAAATTGAAGGTCAGTTGTTACAAACTGCTTAGGGAGACAAGGTGACAGGAAGATAAAGGGAGAACGCTCTGGGAGCCAAAAGATGGAGGCCTTCATCCATTCTGAGAGCAGTGTGTTCTGGTAGAGAGGCTAAAGGTGTGTGCAATGAGACAGGGAGCTGCTAAGGCAATGCTCATGAAACTAACACAACTTTTTCTTCTTGCATGCCAACTTAACCCACTGTTGTAGCACCAGCACTGTTCAGTGGTTCAGCATTTGGAAAAAGTTCAGTGGTCAGCATTTGCAAAAGCATTGATGTGATGCTGTAAAGGTAAAATCCTAGTAAATGGCTGATAATAGTTTTCAAGGCAAATTTTAATTAACTGTCAAATATTTGATGTGTTCAGAAAACATGACAATGAAACCTAGATAATAAATGATGCTAGAAATATAGAGAGTGGGAACCACCCTGGAGGACTCAGAGGATAATTTCTCAAGGAGACTCAGGGGTGACCTTATTACTCTCTGCAACTCCCTGAAATGTGACTGTGTCAGGTGAGGGTTGGTCTCTTTCACCAGGCAGCACCTGACAGAACAAGAAGACAAAGCCATAAGCTGAGCTGAGGGAAATATTGGTTGGATATTAGGAAAATAATTTTTACAGAAAGTGTTATAAAGTGTTGGAATGGTTTGCCTGGAGAGGTGGTGGAGTTACCATCCATGGATGTGTTTAACAAAAGACTGGATGTGGCACTGAGTGCCACGGTCTAGTTGAGGTGTTAGGGCATGGGTTGGACTCAATGATCTTGAATGTCTCTTCCAACCTAGTGGTTCTGTGTGAGACGCTGTGACTCCAGGCAAAATTGGATATCTGGTGTCACCTACCCACATTCCTATTTTTCACTGTGTCTCCCTTACATACAAGTCCTAGCACAGCATGTTTCCCTTCCTTGGTGAATGGTGAATGAGCCAATGGTGAACTAATTTGGATCTATGTTTTAGATGGCTGAAATGAGGTGAGATAAATCATGCCTGAAGTTTATCAGTTCTCTTTCCACAGGCTTCTCTCCACTCTATTTTTCTATCTATCCATATATAATTTCTATATGGATCTAAAACATAGGCTTCACAGGTGTGTGTGTGTGTGTGTGTGTGTGTGTGTGTGTGTGTGTGTGTGTGTGTGTTTATGAACACATATACAAGGACATTTGTCAGATTTTTGAAGGATGTGATTCGGCCTTTAAAAAACAGCTCTTACTTATATGTGCTATGTGTCATCTGTGTATATGAGAATTTGAAAACCTCTGTCCTTTCCACAAAATTTAAAAATTCTGTCAGCAAATGTTTTAACACTTTGCTAAGCAGCAGCCTTCTCTCTGTTGGATCCATGGTTAACTGTTCCTCAACTGCTGTAATAAAAATCTGTAGTCATATCCCAAACTGTCACAAGTGTTGTGATCAACATACAAAGAATTTGCTAGATTTCTTATTAGCTGGGACTGTTTTAAGCCCTATCTTTCCCCCCCACAGCCCAGGTCACAAGTAAAAATATATAGCTTTTAAAATAATTATACAGGTTAAAAACATGAGTAAGAAAATATTTATAGCTCACAGGAAAAAATAAAACTCTTTCCCTTTTTCCCTTGCTCTTATTTTAATTGTTTTAGAGTGGAAACAGGACTAGGACTGCCTAACGAATTTTGAGGAGGTGAGCGCTATTTTTAGGGTATTCTGATGGCTGCATTGTTGTTATGCTTGCACAAAGGTTTAAGAGCAGGAGTGGGGCCCTCTACTTACCACCTGGATGACATTGTTTACACAATGCTATGGTATAGTTACTTTGTTAAAAAAACACAAAAAACTGTGATCCATAATTTGTTCTGGGGGTAATTTTATAGTCATATTGGCCTTGTAATTCAAATTCTGAATTGTCTTCTGGGCTTGAAGTTAAAAAAAAAAAAATAAAAAAAAATAGAAAAGCAGGTGTGGCTCCAAACTCAGCAGGATTTGGCTACCAGTAGAGTCAGAAGGAGCTGAGAGCCGAGACATCTGCTTTCACATAGGTAAAATCCTGTCTAAGAGGGAGGCATGAGGCTTATAAGTGCTGAAGTAATTGGTAGCTGGAGTCAATGAATTACTTACTCTTACAGAGATGACATGCTCTTGTAAGAGGCAGAGCTTCTGGGTCCAGGCAGCTGTTGATCTCGAAATTCCACACAAACTTACAGAAGCAATGTGTTTTTCAGTCCTGTAGTTTTAATTATTCTTTCCTACTGGTGGGAGCAGGATGAAAATTCCTGAACTCAATATTGTTTGAGAGACAAACTATTTCAGGTTTCACAACTTGACCCCAAATTCAGAAAACATCCTACTTTTTGAAATGTGTGATTTCTGGAAAACTCGAGTTCAGTTAATCCTTCCCACCCCATCACCTCCCCACCCCCATTTCTACAGTGGCTGGGATTCCTCTTTGTCTTTTTTGTTAGAGCTCTGATTTTAGCTGGGGTTCAGGCAATCTCTCAGCAGCTTACACCTCTCAGAGTATCTCAGAGCTTAACCTCTCTAAAGAGGTTACTCATGGTCTCCTCCAGTTCCCTAGGCACGGTGACAGAGTTTGGTCTGCTCACCTGATGCTACTCAGTGTTCACCACCCAGAGTTAGCCAATAGTTTGACTTTTACATAGAAGAGAATAAGTTAAAAAAAATAATATAATTGTATTTTCAACAGGCTGGAGTGTTCCTTAAGGAAACTAGGTCTCATATTTTAGTTACCAGGAACAACAGTTTTAAGTCTTTGAGGTCATTTTGGTCTCTTTTGTTTTTAAAATAGGATATGTTTGATACAATTCAGTGTATTACATGTTAACTTTTAACATAAGCCCCTGAAAGCATCTTTCTTAATACAAACCTGATACATAGACTGTTAACTTTGACAAAATAAGCAAGTGGATCTGGTATGCTATACAAAATTATGGCTGGCTTCTCATTTATTGCATAACATACTTTTGACCTGCTAAGACCTGATGGCTGCCCAGGGGAGGTAACTTTGTATTCACTGACAAGTTGAAAAGAGACATATTTTTTCAACAAATTAGTGATTCAGATAATTATTTAGCAAGATTTGCTTATTTGCAGCGCCTGAGGGCTGATCTTACATATTTTTTTGTTGTTATGTTTGTTGTAAATGTCGCCTTGCCTTGCCTTGCCTCTTACATTTATTAAAATCAGTGCATAAAAATCCTCACAATTAAAGTTTATTTTAAAAGTGTTCACAATATTATTTTTTTAAATGTGTACTGCTGAATTAAGTTGTTTTATA